CATGAAATCTGATGTTCTTGCTTTCCCTTTTGTGGAGTTCTCCAATATCATTATTCTACTCTGACAGTGCTAGTAGTGAATGGGAGCAAAACAGAAACCACAAATCTTTAAAGGTAAATTGAACAAGTAAAATATGTTATATTTTATAAATTCCGGGGCAGCAAAAATGTTCGAAGTTCTCTTACGACAAAACCTGGAATAGATCGATGAACCATTTACACGTGACATACTATGTAAAAATAATTGCTGCTGATTTTTAGGCTATGGATAATAGATATTTATTATCCATTATCTTTATATTTATAGATAAATATAAAGATAGATAGACATCTATTAGATATACACATAAACACATACATTGTATATAAATTATCAGGATACCGACTGACAATATCAATCTATATCAGTGGTTCTTTCCACATATGTACATGCCTATGAAACTACACTATCAGATCAAGCTCTGAGTTACCTGTTTCAAATGTATTAAAAACATCAACAACAAAAACAACGCCAAATGTATCTTTAATAGCAAGTGATCACAAACTTACATATTGAATATACCATGACAATAGAACTGCCTATTTACTAATCCCAAAAGAACTTTATGAAGAAAGCCCACAGATAAATACAAATTCCTGTAAACAACAGTATTTCCCCTTCAAAGAGTTTTTAAAACTTCTGTAATATATTTGGGATGTCTTCTCTGGATATGAATGGAAGATTTCATCAAACAAAAATTTAAAGTACTGTATTTGACCTACAATGCATGTAACCTCACTATAATTTGGATCATGCTGTGGAAATATACTAAGTTCCTCTGAAAGTTAAATTCCTTAAAAAGTAGGGTGAATTGCAATATTACAGTTATTCTACTCAGTATACATTCTACTGAGACTGACAGTTCTATTCTAAAGCAATAATACTCTTCATTTGATTTTAGCAACATGTTATTCCTACTCTGGACAATAGGTAAAACAACAATTACATAGTGAATCATTGATATTCTTCCTCAGAAAGCAGAAAGAACCTGCAAATGGGGTAGTGGGTTGTTTTCTTTTTTTTAAGTTGTCAAATGGAAAAACAAAAAAAAAAATTGGGAGAAAAGTCTTTATTCAAATACTTCTAGTACAACCAATAGAAAAAGCGTCCTCTCCCTGCAAAAAAAAACCCCCACCAACGCTATACTGCCTTAAAAAAAAAGAATCAAATGAAGCCCTTGAGTATTTCTATACTTTCTCTTCACAGCAGCCTCAGAATTAGCTAAAAATATAAAGCATTTTAATAATATCTTCATAAAGGATGACTTTTTAAGTTAAAATTCCAACTACTGTACTGAAAATGCTGAAGTTGCTTTCATTAAAAAAAAACCAATAAAATCAGCTTAAAACAAATTTATTGTACAATACAAAAAGTAGGTATACTGGAAAATAAAAGGTACATTAATATACAAAGCAAATAAAAGAAAGCTAAATAACACAAATGGTTTAATCTAAACACTAAGATAAAATGCACAACATTTATGCTAAAAATAAAGTATTTCAGAAAGGATATGCATTTCAAATGAAATGTTAATGATGGAAAAAAAAGAAAAACAAATATGCTAACTTCAAAATGCTTGAATATCAAGAATCAGTAATGGCATAAAACATTAAATCCAACAATACTGGGTACTTTTCAAGAACTTTATTTGAAAAGATATTTAAAATACTGAAAGAATCAAAATAATGTCTTTAAATCCGGCAAAGGTTTTCCTTTTTTTTTTTTTAAATAAAGTTTGGGGGCCTATTCACAATATCTTCCCTCTTCTTCCATTTATACCTTCCTACAAAAATTTCTAGATGCTCATCCTTAACAAGATTCTATAAACAAAGTAGCTTAGGAAACCCTACTCCATTGATAAGTGTGTATTTAAGCCTTACAAACATAGTAAGTGGCACAAATTAACATAATTTTGAAATCTATATAAATATGGACACAATATGAAACATTAAGTTTCCATTTTATAAAGTAAAACCTACCTCCAAATGAAACAGTAAAATATAACAATTAGAGCACAGGGGGGAAGAAAATAAAGCCTGTTTTGCAAACTATAAATTTAGACATTCAGTTCCCCAAAGCACAATAGCTCTGTGAAACTAATTCGAATGACACTGTTCAAAGGTGTAGCAGAGGTGAGGCCTTCAGCCACACCATTCTCACATAAATGGCCAAACCAGAAGCATCCAGTTAGGATATGCATCTGTACATCAGAGGAACACTGAATTAGCCATAAAATCCTTGGTAATATCCTCTAAAACCTAACGTATAATTATTTAAATATATGTTTAATACTTCAGTTACGCCAAAAGACTTTTGACCAAGTTTGGAAAGGAACTTCTTTTCCTAATATCATAGTTCCCAAACTTATATAATCAAGACTTTCTATATCTGTATTTGCACTAGCATCTAAATCATCCAGGAAAAAACTTTTTACTACACTACAATTACTTTCATAGACTTTACCCTACCACATGTATGCCATGATACTAAGAAACTATCAAGTTCTCCTCTGACCTCACCCCTGCCCTCCAAAATCTTGAAGCTGTGGAGGAACTGTGGGGAGAACCAGAGAGGTATACAGAGGAAGGAAGAAGTGTGAATAGGTCCTACACAATTTTACAATCACTTTGCCAAGACTGACTTTAAACATTGTGAATTATTTGAAATTAGGTTGTGTAGAACCTATAGTCCTTTTCTTAAAAACAAGTTTTGATTCTCAACATTGCATTTATATAACCAAACAAAAGGATTCAGATCTAACAGGCATTTTAGTAGCATACTAACTACCTTCAGACTGAATTCATTTCCTAAATACTCTAAAAGAATTCAAATAAAACAAACTTTATGAGATGTTATTATAATTTATCATAGAAGATTCATTAGCATTTGTGAAATTATTAAAAGCTAAAACCCAAGATTCACCATTCATATTTAAATATAACATGGAAAAAGTTACGTGGATATTACGAAAATAAAATTGTTCAGGTAAACATTTCACTTGAAGACACTCCCTGTTGCTCCTTCTGAGTAACCATTATAGCTTTTTAACAATGAAACATGTCATATTACATCTGAAATTCTTTGGCTGGAATGCTTTAATAACATAAGACACTCCTGTACATGACAATTCTGACAGAACAAAGGAGTTGCAAAGTGAAAACGCAAAGACATTTTAAAGTGTTTGATAAAATTTTAAATAAACTTTTAAAACTTTAAAGCTGAAAAAAAAAAGTCAAAGCCAATCTATTACTAAAAATAGCATAATATCTTAAGCTAATTTTATAATCTACTGCTATATTAAATAATTTGGAATTTATTAAGTCTTTTTATTTTTATATTTAGCTCTATTGCTACTAGAGACATCATGTCAGTTTTAAAACTGGAAAAAACAAAATGGATGAAATTTATGAGTTCAGTGTGTGGGTTTCAGAACCAAGAAATTACAAATTTGTTACTATGTTAAAATGGGATTATATGACTGCATATATAGTTAAAATTTTAATTACACCAAGAAAAATTTTTAAGAAATTTTTCCTTTCATTTTTTTAAAAAATAAAGCAAATTTGCTTTACTTATTTATAAATACTTTTTAAAAGACTGACAAATCCACTTTTTAATCTATTAACTTTACACAAAGATTAAAAGAAAAAAAAGCTTTATGGCTCCAGCACCCAAGGTTGAGAACACAAAAAACTCAAATAAATATAGTATGCCAGAAAACTAAAGATGTTTGAAAGGTTAAATGAAGAACATTCTGAAACTAGAACCCATTTCTTTAGCTTTTCTCTCCCAGACTCTCCATTCTATATACTACAGTTGTAGAGATGTCCTCATTTGACTCAGGTGACACTTTTTTCCATACTGTCTCTTTTAAAGCAAGTTCTTGTTGGAGACTTTCATAGTCCAATGGTCCAAAGGAATGCTAGTTGTTCAAGCAACATACATAATTTATTAGTGCACTTGAGTGAAGAAAGGTCCAAGCTATAAAACGGTATTTTTCAATGAATGTTATTAAAATCTGTTAACATTTTCACCCACCACCATCTGATGTTTTGCTCCATGTTACTCATGTTGATGCCCATGGAAGTTTCTATTCTGTTGGCTTTGCATAATTCTCATATATTATTAGAAGTTACTTTGATTGGAACTAACGACAGGAAAATTTACTTAGTATGTGTTAAAAATTTTTTCTACTTATAAGTGCTTCATACATATTAGCTTCAAGTCTAGTTAGGTAATTTTACTCTAAACATTTTCCATTTGGGATGCAAAGAAACTTAAATTCAAAACAAGTCCTTTAGTGCAGTGAACAACAACAAAGACAAAAAAAAATCTTGTTCCTGGAATGTGAGCTCTGACTCCTTTAAAAAGGAGTATATATGTGCAAAAATATGAAGCCAAACACACGATAACAAATATTACCTTAAAATAACAGTGTCAGGAATATTGCATTAAATATTGCATTTCTACAGAAAAATAGTTTATCTATGGTGACCTATATAAAACTTACTATGAAGCTTTGTCAGGTCTCTCACTAATACTATAATCCTTTCCCATTTACATATCCATCCACATCAAAATAAACTTCAATTTAAGACTAGAACTGACAAATATTAAGAGTAAAAACAGGCTTTCTCTTTATAGCATGTAGCACTTTCCAATCTGTCGTCTTTTAACAGAATCAATTTTTAAATATATTGCTTAAAACAGCAGAAAAATGGGGGAAGGCAGAAACCCCTGCTCCTAGGCTAACCAGTTCCAATTTAAATAAAACAGTAATATTTAACATCTATGTACTATTGGTCCAGGATGATAATGTCAACAATTTTTTTACACTCATTTGTTATTAGTAAAGATATGAGGCCACTAACAAACTAAACTAAGTTTTACTTAAACTGGTGAACCTCATTTTCTCTCTCTTAAAAAAATTACATAATAATCTAAATAAGAATTTTGCTTACCCTTTGATCACCACCTTCTCTTCGAGGATCAAGTTTTTTTGCAAAGTGTCTCAAATTATCATAGTTATGGAAATTACACAGAGAAACAAGATCCTATAATTAAACAAAACAGGTATAAGAAACTGGCTAGTCATTGGCTATTGCTTTTTTCACATTTTAATAAATTACACTAATACTGTCCAACTTAACTACTATCTCATGGAAAGGACCACTGCATGTTAATAAAGCAGCATGATGCATCAAGAAGAGAACTGAAATTAGAATAAGAAGACGTGGGTTACAGATTTTGAAAACACTGCTTACTAGCCTGACCCTAGGGCTCTGCCACTCAAATTATTTAACTGCCGTTTCCTGTAAAATGGGCATTATAATAATAGGCCACATGAAATAATTTTTCTATCAAATAACTATAAAGCTGCACAAAAATATAAAGAAATATTCTAGTTATAATCTATTTTAATCTATAAGGAATCCAATGTCACTCTCTAGTTTTTGTAAAATATGTAAAACTGAAAAATAAATTGGAATTTTAATTGAGAAAGTCTGCAGAAAAAATTATACTTAGTGCAGACTATAGGAAGTAGTAAATGTAAATAAAACCAGAAGATAAAATATTAGCAAGACTTGGGTAACAACAAAAAATACTGAACTAGGGGCTTCCCTGGTGGCACAGTGGTTAAGAATCCGCCTGCCAATGCAGGAAACACGGGTTCGAGCCCTGGTCCCAGAAGATCCCACATGCCGCAGAACAACTAAGCCCATGTGCCACAACTACTGAGCCTGCGCTCTAGGGCCCACGAGCCACAACTACTGAAGGCCACGAGCCACAACTACTGAAGCCCATGTGCCTAGAGCCCGTGCTCCACAACAAGAGAAGCCACCACAATGAGAAGCCTGCACACTACAATGAAGAGTAGCCCCTGCTTGTTGCAACCAGAGAAAAGCCCGCGTGCAGCAACGAATGACCCAAAAGCAGCCAAAAATAAAAAATAAATAAAAATAAAATTAAAAAAAAAAAAACTGAACTAGTTAAGAGTAGTAATAATTTTAAATTGCAGTACTTAGGTCCTCAAAAAAAAAAAAAAGACTTTTAAAGGTAGTTTATGGATAAAGATATTCAACCATGCCGATTAAAGATGACAGTGTAAACTATAATAATCTTTCATTTATGTTGGAATTTAAATGACTTCTCCAAGTTTAGTATCTTTTGCTGAGCTTTTGGAAACTGAAAACTAATTATAACCATGAAAATTAAAATATGAGCATCAAACAAATGTAATTTGTAATTAGTGACGATGATTATATGGGAGCTGTGTGGTGGAGGCAATTTAAAGCTCCTTTATGAACATGTCCATGGCTACTGAGTAACTGACAGACTGGCAGTGAGAGTGCCAACAATCAATAAACTCTGGAAAAGAGTAAAAAAGTAGAATCATCAGATGGCTCAACTTATATGATCATTATTTTCATTAAGAAAATATGCTTACATGACAGAAGTGAATTCCCTTAACACTGTTGCCCATCTTGTCCAGGGGAGGAGACCAGCACATCATGCCCATGACATTGGGGACAACTAAAAGAATGCCCCCAGCAACTCCAGATTTTGCAGGAAGACCAACCTGAAAATAATTTGAAAAAAATGGACATTCATGTTAACATTTTAAAATAAGAAAAGTTATGTCCAACAATAAGGGAACTGGTTAAAATATTATGGTATATATATCCATATATAATTCCAACATTAAAAATGCTGTAGATATGTATTTATCAACATGTTTATAATATAGTAAATGAAAAGAGTTATAAAACAGTTGGGATATATTTAAATACAGGAAAATATTTGAAAGATATACTCTAAGGAATTAAAGTAGATTACATCTAAATTGTGGGGCTATGCACATTTTTATTTTATTCTTTTTGACTATATTTTCTTATTGTTTTATAATAAACATGTATTGCTTTTAAGTATGAAGTGATTTTCAAAAAATATTTTATGACTAAAACAATGAGAAATTATCTCTTCTTAGAAGATTCTCTATTGTATACTGGCAGAGAAATTCTAAAGAATAGAGATAAGATGGTACTAATTCAAATTAATCCTCTTCAAAACATTTAAGCTTACATTATATAAAATTTGACAATTATGATAAAAGACAAAATTAATGTCATCAGGGCAGTGTTCATTAATGGCTTATAACCATTCAGACCTCTTACTAGAAGTAATCTTGCACAAAAGTAACAAAACAAAATAATCACCTGAATGGGACCTACCAATTTACAGGGAATACCATGGACAAAGGAAGGGATGTAATAAGCAAACCAAACTCTAAGAAACTGTACAGGAAAAAATGACCTAGTTTTTTCAACCAAAATACCAAGAAAAAAGAGGTTAAGGGGGAGACTAAAGATTTAAAAAATAATAATAGAGACACAATCAACCACAATATATGGCCCTTATTTGTAACCCAAGTGAAACAAATTGTAAAATAATAATTAAGATAATCCAGATAATCCGAATATTGACTAAATATTTTTTTAAATGTATTTTATTGAAATACAGTTGATTTACAACGTTATTTTCTGCTGTACAGCAGTGATTCAATTATACATATATTCTTTTTCATATTCTTTTCCATTATTGACTAAATATTTTGATGATATTAAAGATTAAAATTCTTTTCAGATTTTTATACATAACAATGGTGCTGTGTATTTTTTAGAGTCCTTATCTTTTAGAATTACATACTGAACTATGAAAAGGGTGGGGGAAGTAGGTGTGATATAGATGAAACAACATTGGTCATGTATTGATAATTACTGAAGTTGAGCGACGGGAAACTATTTATTTACTCTTATTGAAGTATAGTTAATTTACAATTATACTTAATTCAGTTGTTAATTTCAGGTATACAGCAAAGTGATTCAGTTATACATACATATATATATATATATATATTTTTTTTTTTTTTAGATTCTTTTCTCTTATATGTTATTACAAAATATTGAGTAGAATTCCCTGTGGTATACAGTAGGTCCTGCTGGTTCTCTCTTTTATATACAGTAGTGTGTATATGTTAATCCCAAACTCTTAATTTATGCCTCACCCCCTTCCCCTTTGGTAACCATAAGTTTGTTTTCTATGTCTGTGGATCTATTTCTGTTCTGTATATAATTTCACTTGTATCATTTTTCTTTTAGATTCCACACATAAGTGATATCATATGATATTGGTCTTTCTCTAACTTTAAATGCATCTATTTTTCTATTTTTAAAATTTTCAAAATAAATTTTTAGGGCATTATGACTAGACTAGACATAGAATGAAACAAGAAAAGTCTATAACATTTCACAAGTGGCAAATGCACAACAGAGCTTAAAGGAGTATATTTTTGTTAAGTTTTAACTTTAATATACTTTAAGTCCTTTAAAACACCTATGGCTGTAACCAAAGATGTTAAACATCACAGTTATGCACTCCTTCTGAACTTAAAGAATTCCTGAGGTATGTAATCATCACAATATTAAACATTAGCAACTAAAAGTAAAGTCTGTACTAAGCCTGTACAGTGAAATGCCTTAAAAATAAAAGTGATAAGGTTCTATAAATTAAACTTCAAGTTCTTAAGAACATGTCGTAGACTGCTTAACTCTATTTCTTACCAATTCTGTAACAAATTAACCTTGAAAACAAGCCTCTCTAAAATGAATGTACAGCTCTAGAAGCAAAGTTCAAACTGTATTTTTAAAGGAACTAGTCCAGACTAGTTTCCTGCCAGAGAAATTAAGATTAAACAATTACTTACATGGAAAGCAAACTGCCCCGAGAAATCATACATGCCACAGGAATGCATCAAACTGAGTGTATTTCGAACTGCTTCAGGACTCAGTACTCTTTCC